TTTTTTTTTTGTAGTATGAGGACTATCTGTGACTTTCCAAGGATTAAAAAGTAGGACATACTTTTATTTTTAGGAGAAAAAAATGCAAATTGGATCTGTGGAATATGAAATTAAAGCTAATAGAACTATGCTGGCAAATATCTATAAAAACAAAGTGTAAATACTGAAAAGGAGTAGTCCCAGATAGAGAATAAAATTGGGACTATAAATACAAGAATCTTCCTCTTTGTCTTTCCTAAACTAGGAAAACTGAAACCATGGGGACAATCTAAAGAAAAGAATTCTCTGAAGGAGCATGTAAACAGAGTTAGCTTCCACAAGAAAACTTACAAACAACCTCCTCTCCAGACTAGGTGAGTACATAATTATGCAGGTCTATAGTTTTTAATGTTGGAAGACTATAGATAAAAAGAAAGCCTCTGAGGGAAAGTTTTGATAATAGTGGTATTTAGGAAGAGTAGGAGTAGAATCACATACAGAACTGCCTAACAGTATGGGTGCCTAAGCCCCACCACCATGGTTTCTAATTTAGTAAGTGGGAGGTGGGGCCCAAGTAACTGCACTGTTTACAAAGCTCTGTAGGTGATACAGAAGGGGACACTGTTCTCTCACATGACCTATTGGCCCCAACAGGACACCTGGACAACCCTCCAGCCCCTAATCCAAGTGCCCAGAGCACCTAAGTATACAGATAGATGTAATTCTTCACTCCCAGGGAAACCTGGGTTACTAGGCTACACTAGGGGAGATCCCAGGATGATCGTAAGCCGCTTCCTTCTGCTTGAAAACCAAGTTAAAGCCAGAGCTTGCAGTGGGCTGCGGCAGGTGCTGGTGGAGTCATTTCCCCAAATAAAACTCTACTGATTCAGGGTTGCCCATCATCTGAGTTGCCTATAGCCAGCTGCCACCAAGACCTTTACTAACTTTGCTGTTAAGATTGTTAACATAGGAACACCTGGCTGGCTCAGTCAGAAGAGCATGCAACTCTTGATGTCCAGGTTGTGAGTTCAAGCCCCACATTGGGTGTACAGATTACTTTAATAGAACTTAAAAAAAAAAAAAAAATCATTAATCCTGACTCCCCCTGTCTGAATCCCCAGTTCCTTACAGAAAAGTACAGTGGCTTAATTCAGTAGACTATGGTTCTAGTTCAAGTATTTTTCACCACACTATATGATTTTGAGCCTGACCTCTAACTTCCAAAAGTAGAGATTTCTCATTTAAAACAAATTAAGGCACCAAGGTGCCTTCTGTCCCAGTTTCATGCTTAATTGTAGGGTGCCGCATTAACATAAAAGGAAAAATACCAGTTTGTAGCCCTTTAACACAAATGACTTACAGATATGGCTTCTATCAGACAAGCCACTAGATAGAGGACAGTGTCCGATGAGAGTGTGTTCTGTGCAAGTGTGCAGGAGGTCAGTGTAAGCTTGGACAGGAGTGTGACAACAGGTGGATTCTTGAGCTTCACTAGAGCCTAATGTGTACCTGTCCCTCTTTAGGGAAGAACAACGGAAGCAACATGAGCAAAAACGAAAGGAGAAGAAAGCAAAGGTTTTGGGAGCTCGAAGAGGCCTCATTATGGCTGAAGATTAATTTTTTGATGTCTTGTAAATATTACCTTATTGTGAACACTTTCTGTAAATATTTTTCTACTGTCTTCCCCGCTTTAGTCAAAAAACCTTTTTCTGTTCTTTGTTCACTATTTATGTAGTGTCGGTGCATTCTTAACATGCTACATCTCCGAAGACGTTATTAACTTTAAGGCTCACATATTCTTTGACGTGGTTTTTACTTAAGTCTCTGTACAATTCACTTTTGAACTGAGACTCATCCTATAGATTCTTGACCTAGATTTTTCATGTCAAGTTCCGTGTGCTGATTCTAATATTAATTGTAATCCTGTTCTAGGCAACAGCATTTACCCTGATGGTAGGTAGTTCTACCACAAGCTTTAGTAGAAATTGCACCAATAAAAAGTTATGAATAGGGTAAGTTGAGAAAGTTCACTTCTTGCTCCTCTAGAGAATCTAGTAGTCTTGATCAAACTGGGGGCCATTTGGGTTTGTTATGGCATTAATATTCTACCTATGTGAAGTATCTGGTTACCTATGCACATTAGTTCAGATCAACATAATTGGCATCTGTCACTCAACGTACTCTTAAAAACTATTGCTCATTCTAGCCTTGCTTATTTAAAAACATACAGGGCCATACTGAAATCTGAGGATTGCTGCTTCAAGGATCATTATGCTCTGTGAAACTGACCTTTTACTCACTTTATGGAAAAAGACGACTTGCTTAGCACCATAGCCATGCTTGTTGAACCTAAGTGGAGCTTCTGAGCTTTGTACTAATTAAGATTTTCATAGTTTTCTCATGGTGGTAGATGGATTGTTTGTAAATAAATTGGCTTCCAAGATTGAGTTGACCAGCTA